CAATTTGCAGCTCTAACCTCGGGTCACAGAGGCAGACCCAAAATAAGAAACATTGGCGCGGAATGGGATACTCTTTGAGGTGAAATGTCTCTTCCGTGATTTCATAAAGGTCAGGTCCCATGAGTTGGAGTAGAGGAGATTGGAGAGGCTTCGAAAGCAAAAATGCTATCCTCACCGGAGATGGCTTCCATCAGAGGGGGTATCTGCTACGTCCCTGAATGAATCAAGGGGGGCAAATCAAGTCCACACTGCCTCTCTGTAAATTCCTGAAGAGGGATAAGTGAATTTTGGTACTCAAAGGAATACGGTGAATTTCAAGAGATATTTTCTTTTTCTTTTTTTGGCCATTTCCAATCAGTCAGCGTAGTACTGATTGGATGGATTGGAATAAAAAATGGGGTACAAATTAGGGTTTTATATCAGGACTACTACCACTCATTATTAGACAAGAAAGTGTTGGTGAATTTAAATAGTGAATAATGAAAATGTCTCAAAGCGATTTGTTTGTGCATATTTTTAAGAGTTAGCGCTATGATTAATTGTTACTTGTCCGGTTTAAATGCCATGTCCAAACTGACTGCAATTAATCACACCATAAGGTCATTCAGAAACATCAGCAAAGAACACATTCAAACAAACTCATTTCCTTACTTCTTTCTACATTATTTATTGCACGTAGCTGATTCGTATTGCAGGGGTGTTTGTTTTTCTAAGTTATAATGTTTGCTTGTTAAAAACGTACCTGGAGTTGTGTTTTGTTTCATCCCACAAACTCAACTCTACAGACGGTGTTCTTCTCTCAAACAGAAAATACTCTGTTGATGTGGTAATACAGGAAGTGCTCCATTGTGATTTTAAGCTCCTTACACCTTCACTAGAATCATTTGGATAATTTCAGTTGGGAATTGCCACTTCGTACTTAGATGAGGTTACAACAATCTACCAAATTTTTTGACTATAAGTCACACTTTTTTCATGGTTTGGGCGGCCCTGTGACTTATACAATAAAATTATATATTAAAATTTTCACACTGACAGCTAGGAGAGGGCGCTCTAGGCTTATGTGTCAGTATTTGCTACTACTATTATTTCTGTACCACTGTCACTTCGCTCTTTACTGTGTCCTGCAGAAAAAGCCGCTGTCCTGCTGCAAGTAGTGAGAAATTCAGCTGGACACGGTAACCGAGCAGCAGAAAGAAAGTTTGGAGTGAGTGAGAAACTTATGAGGAACTGGTGAAAAGTGGGGATGAAGAACACAGCTTCACGGCATCCAGGAGGGTGCACCATGCAACTCCTGGAAGTCATTGAATTAACAAAGCCTGGACTTCAGTGACAACCGAAACCATCCTGTCGGGATTCAGAAAGGCTGGAATAATTCTAACTGGAACTGATGCTGAATCTAACGACAGGTACACAGAAGAGGAAGCGCTGCTCTTTTCACCTCTGGAGGTGGCGCAGTTGCTCAGAAGTGACACTGAGGATGAAGAATTCAATGGATTTAGTGATTTGGAGTGAGATGGAGAGTTTGGTAAACTTGTTCTGTTCTGTTGTTTATGCTATTGTTATCTGAATAACTGTACCTGGTATGTTGACGTATGTTACATTAACTGGTCTCTGATTTTTATAAAATAAATTTTCCCAAAAAAGTACAACTTACACTCCGGTGCGACTTATATATGTTTTTTCTTCTTCATTCTGCATTTTTTGGCTGGTGCAATTTATACTCCAGAGCGATTTGTAGTCAGAAAAATACAGTAATATAAGAATTACAATTCATCCCATCTCAGTTGTACAGCAGTTGTACAGAACTATAGCATGAGCAGTTTTTATGTAGTACAAGTCATGTATAGCCTAGTACACTATGTGATAGGACCAATGGATTTTTTCATTAACATCAATGAACTCAATGTTATCGGTGCACAGTCTAACTTGTCTCCATGGAGATGTTGTTGCTTTGTTTGGAATGATCCACAATACATGCAATTAAACTTCTCTTGCTCGAACGAGGCAATAAGATGATGCTGCCAGACAGCCAAGTTATTGGTCAGCTCTGTGGAAAGGCGCCCCCGCTCACAGTGAGAATTCACATTTTTCAATGTATGCTTGAGTACTAAAAACACTCTTAATTACATAAATGCGAGATATAGACTTTGATGTCAAACAGTGGAACATAACATCTCCATGGAGACAAGCAGCTCCGCATCAATGAAGAAAAGTTATGCAATGCACCTTTAAGAAATCACTGAACTTGAAACACATTTTGATTGTTATGTAAAAACGTGGCAAGAACAAAAATGCACTAATTAAAAGTAATTAATCATATTCAAGAAGAAAAGAGCAAATGATTTCATATTTCACGAGGCAAGAACACAATTTGTAAAGTCACTGGACTGATTCAAACACTAGCTATGAATAAGGGATTAGATTATGCATATTAAGTATAAACCGTCATAAGATAGTCATGTCACTGCGAGTGGAAGTAAGGCAAAATAAAACACTCCTGCTTCTGTCAACTTTAATTCTCCTTTCCTAAGTTTCTTCACGGCTCCCTACCTTGGTCTGCTTACTAATCAGACATTTACCAACACGCTTAATATGCTGAACACTGTATTAGCCTCTGTCG